GACATTGGCTTAGGCAAAGAGTTCATGATCAAGAACCCAAAAGCAAATGCAACAAAAACAAAGATAAATACATGGGACCTAATTAAACTAAAAATCTTCTGCACAACAAAAGTAATAATCAACAAGGTAAACAGACAACCCACAGAGTGGGAGAAAAGCTTCACAAACTACGCATCTGACAGAGGACTAATATCCAGAATCTACAAGGAACTCACACAAATCAGCAAAACAAAAACAAAAACAAAAAAATAAAAACCAAAAAACAATCCCATCAGAAAGTGGGCAAAGGACATGAATAGACAATGCTCAAAAGAAGATACACAAATGGCCAAGAAACCTGTGAAACAATGCTCAACATCACTAATTATCAGGGAATTTCAAATCAAAACCACAATGACATACCACCTTACTCCTGCAAGAATGGTCATAATCAATAAATCAAAAAACATAGATGTTGGCATGGATGTGGTGAAAAGGGAACACTTTTACACTGCTGGTGGGAATGCAAACTAGTAAAAACCACCATGGAAAACAGTATGGAAATTCCCCAAAAAATAAAAATAGAACTATCATTTGATCCAGCAATCCCACGAATAGGTATCTTCCTACAGGAAAAGAAGTCATTGTATAAAAAAGACACTTGCACATGCATGTTTATAGCAGCACAATTTGCAATTGCAAAAAATGAAACCACCCTAAATGCTCATCGACTGAGTGGCTGAAGAAACTGTGATACACACAGACACACACACACACACACACACACACACACACACACACGGACACATACACCATGGAATACTACTCTGTCATGAAAAGGAATTAAACAATGGCATTTGCAGCAACCTGGATGGAGTTGGAGACCATTATTCTAAGTGAAGTAACTCAGGAATGGAAAACCAAACATCGTCTGTTTTCACTTATATGCGGAAGCTAAGCTATGAGGACATAAAGGCATAAGAATGATATACTGGACTTTGGGGACTTGGGGGAAAGGGTGGGAGAGAGGTGAGGAATAAAAGACTACACATTGGGTACAGTGTGTACTGCTCGGGTGATGGATGCAGCAAAATCTCAGAAATCACCCACTAAAGAACTTTTCCATCCAACTAGACACCACCTGTTCCCCAAAACTATTGAAATAAAAATAAAAAAACAAAACCCACATGAAATGTGTGTGGGGGGAGTAAAAGTGTAGTGTTATTTTATGTAATCAATGTTAAGTTGTTATCTTCTTAAAATAACCTGTTATAGTTATACGATGTTTTATGTAAGCCTCATAGTAACCAGAAATGATTAGAATTTTTTCCTTTTAGTTGATATCATAGACCTGTATTATTTTCCTTTGGTAATTTATTAAAGAATGAGAGTGTGTGTCAATTAATTGGCTTTAAAATACGTAACTTCAGTAATAACAGGATGCTAAATATGTATCTATTAATCTATGTGTTGACTACTCTTATTTATTAAATACATAGACTCAGGAAAACCTATATTTGAATTCGTTTCCTTATCTAAACACTTTGGCTCTTACCTAAAAATTACTTTGACAATCATAATTATTTGCACTTGGGTATATTTATTATATGTCAGACTCTGGACTAAATGATTCAAAAGCACATTCCATTTCAACCTTACAATCTAGTAAAACCCATTTTGCAACTGAGCAAACGTGTATGGCCTAATGGTGATTCTCTATGACTATTTTAATGAGGGAACACTTTGAGCTTGACTTGGCACTCTGAACCCCTGGCTGGCATAAGCCAGATGTGAAGTGTAGTGCAAGGACAGCCCCACTCAGCCTGATCCTGAAAGAGTGATGAAGGCAAGTCCTTCCAGCGGGAAGAGCTCTGAATGGTATCTATCGACTAGCCATGAAGTCTGGAAAAAAGTGCAGCATGATGTAAGGATTTATACATATTATGATCAATGGCTAATGGTTTGGCTAGTGATTTGGTTTCTGATAATTATGAATTTTACCACTATCCCACACAATTTTGCTTCTGACCAAGAATTCACTTCGTAATGAATCAAGGAAGGTAATGGGTTTATACTGTTATTTGTTGGTCTTCACATGTTTCCCATCACTCAAAAGCAGCTGACTTTGTTGAAATGTGTGTTAAAGACTTATTTATAATACCAGCTGGGATATAACATTTTTCAAGGTGCTGTATACAGCTGATATTACTGTATTTTCTTAGGCTAACTTATGATGCTTCATCCGGTTTGAATACAGGTATCTTGGAACCAAGGAATAGAAATAATTATACCTAATGACCAATCTGAAATTTTTGCTTCTAGTTTTTTGACCCTGTCTGCTATTGGCTAGAACCTTAACTACTCAAGGGATGGGTGTGTCTTCCAGGAAACAGAGCAATGGTTCTACTGAATTGGAAACTGCAACATGACCATTTTGGTCTCCTTATGCCATTGGAATAGAGGACTTTGGTGTTGGTTGTGGTCACTGATCCTGAGCTTCAAAGTGAAAGTGGGCTTCTGTTGTGACATTGGGGGCATATTCTGAGGTATTTTCTTCTACTGCAACCAGAGGTGACATTGAATAGGGAGGGCTACTGCAATTCTATATAGGCAGAACCCCCCAAAGGACCTATATCTCTCAGAAATAAAGATTTGGGTGGCCTTACTAGGAAAAGAACTCTGAGCAGCAAAGGGGATGGAAGAGGAAATAAAATTGTAGCTATGGCCTAGTGACCAATTATAGATATAATGACCACTGATTTTCTTCCTATCTGTACTTCCTTCTTTGCTGTCAAATGTATAAATAACATCTCCTATCTGACCTCTTACTTTCTGAGCTCAGAACCTGATAGATACGGGTTAGACAGATACTTGCATGTTTGCTGTTTTTCTTTTTATTTCCTCTCTCTTTCCAAAACCGTAAGGTAGAGTTACTCAGGTCACAATTTGGTTCGTTCGTTGGTGGATATCAAGGTGAGATTGTTATACAACTTAGAGGGATTAACATCATTCAGACAGCCTGGATTCCAGCTGGTGTGAGAACGGATGTCTTGTTTTCTGTTTGGGAGAGGGTTATTCGGTATATAAGGGTCATTGTGTTTTGTTAGGTGTGAACATTTTTTGGAGGTTTAATTAGGGTAAGAAGAATGTAGGCAAAGTTGGGCAGACATAGAGGTGAACTAGGAAAGATGTTTGTCCTTTTTTTTTTTTTTTTTGGCTTTCCAGTGTTGGAATCTCTTTCTTTTTTTCTTTTTTGAGACGGAGCCTCTTTCTGTCTCCCAGGCTGGAGTGCGTGGGCAATCTCGGCTCACTGCAAGCTCTGCCTCCTGGGTTCATGACATTCTCCTGCTTCAGCCTCCCCAGCAGCTGGGACTACAGGTGCCAGCCACCACTCCCAGCTAATTTTTTTTTTTTTTTTTTGGTATTTTTAGTAGACAGGGGGTTTCACCGTGTTAGCCAGGATGGTCTCGATCTCCTGACCTCGTGATCTGCCTGCCTCGGCCTCCGAAAGTGCTGGGATTACAGGCCTGAGCCACCGCGTCCGGCCCGAACCTCTTTCTTACATGGAGGAAAGCATGCACTTTGTGAATCTCCATGGGACACTGCATCCTGCATTCCACTAAAGAAGATGCAAAGGATCAACTACTCCCTTTTCTCTGTATCCCTGGCAGCTATGCTACAGGCATTGCAGCTGAGGCTTGGCCAGTCAGGTGCTCCCAGTGTTGAATGAGAATCTTAAGTAAGATAAACAAAATGCAGCGATCTTTTAGAATTCACTTCGTGATGATGACACAGAGGGGATGGGAACAGCATCTAGTGTCCAGTGGCAGCAGAGTCTGACAGTGTGTGGGAGCAGCAATTCATACAGTGGCACCCTAACCAGGCAGTTTCTGTGGCATAACCTTGCCCATGGCTCAGTACGCTCTACCTCCCTTAATTCCCACCCATTTTCTCATCTCTACTGTTGATTCTATGAGCTTTCTGATAGCCTTCCAATAAATTCCTCCTCTGCTGAAGTTTTCCAGTGTAATTCTTGCAACCAAGAACACTGACTGCTAAAAGTATATATTATCACCCCATTTTCAGCTGACAATTTGGGTCATTGAAAGGCTATATTGTGGGCCAATAGCCACACAGTAAATAGGGCTGAAATTTGAACCCAGATCCGCTTGATGCCAAGCTTGTATTCTAAACCACTACTCTGTTAAGTACCATTAGTTAAAAATAGGAAATACTACAAAGACTAGCTTCCTATGGTTTTTAGAGAATTATTTCTTAGCTTAAGGACACAAGGAATTTATATAGTAGGTTATCACCAACTGTTGAGGCTACTGCTAGGAAAAACCACGTCGTGCTGATGAGCTCAGGGAGATGCCTGTGCCATCACTTTCAGCACAAAACCACTGCAGAAGTGTTTGCCAGTCATGGTTCTGTTGTCGTTTTTCTGGAGTCTAGACAGGGTGTTGCTTCCTACCTCTTTTCTGCTGGCTGGTGACCTTCCCTTTTTCATGCTTCCTGCTTTCTTCCCCACCTCCTCTAAAATGAGCTTCCCTCGTTGATTCCCACCACAGCCTTTTCCTTCTCTAGGAGAAACCTTAGATAATTATTCCTGCCCCCCTCCCAAAATATAATCCTGCTCTTTAAGGAGGGAATTTTTTTTTTTTTTCATTCCTTTAGATTGGAAAAAGGCTCCTTCGGTTCATGTTAGAGCCTGACTTTTAAAAGCCTTCTGAGAGGATGTCTCATGGTTAACCCTGGGGAGATGTTTCACTATCTGGCAGCCCTTCTCATCACCGACATTCAGTTTAAATCTCTCTGTCCTTAATTTTACCCCAATTTAGTCCTTCGACTCAGCCCAGTAATGACTCTGACTGTTGTTTACTCTGTGGACACTTTCCAATGACAATCACGTCTCCTCTCGGTCGCTACTCAGCAGAGCTGGCCATTTGAGAATCTTTTAATCATTTCTTTTTGTACGTCAGTCTCTTTGCCCTCTGAGTCATTTGTGCTCTCCTCTTAACTTCCTTCGGTTTGAGCTCAATTGGAAATATGATTAGCATATAGATTTTTCCTGCTTCTGGCAAGGATTTTTACACTGGAAAAAAGAGGCTATACGTTTTGTAGAAAACTCAAGGTCTGACCCACCAAACTCCACTATTGCCTTCCTGGACCAATATCCTTCTTCAATAGCCATTTTATACAACGTTTTCTTCTGGTAATGAGAAGTTAATTGCAAGGCTTTGATACTTTTGGATGGGGTTTGTATTTTGTTATCTTTTGTACTTAACTTCAGGCAATGTTACTTATCTTAAAATTGATTGTAGAATGCCTTAAATGTAGCTGCAGTGGCTTATTGTTCTTTTAATAACCATCACTCTTTTGTAATAGGTATCTCTCTTGTCACAGACAGCTTCTGTGATCCGGAAACTCCTATCTCCTCTGGGATCTAACGTTAATTTTTACAGCTGTCTTGTTATCCAGCAGTATTCTTTGTTTTGCTTTACCACAGCCACCCAGGAGTATTTATCAAGCACTGCACAGTTTAACTGCCTATAAAGATTAGGCCCAGGCTATTTACTTACTGGGTTGGTTAAAATTGGCAATTGGGATAATAGTCTTCCCTTTCCAATGGCTGGTGCAGCTGGCATATTTCCTGCCAGGTTGAAAAATATCAGTGCGTTGTTTAATATGTCTCTTTGAAGAGAAATCTGAAGCCAGGGAAAGCAAATGGAAGCCAGCTCACTGTTGGTAGAGCAATTGCCTCCTAGTTAGTTAACATTTGATAGTTAAGAGCTTGAATTTGAATTTTTCAAAAGCATTTGCCTGAGTTAACTAGACTTTATTTTTCACTGGTTTGTTTTTTATCAGTGTGTTGTACAGAGTGAATGGCCTCGGACCTTCAATGGCTGTGCACTGCTTTCTCAGGACTTTCCCTCGGAGGGAAGCACTGACCCCTATCTCTTTCCCTTTTCTCCACCCTTAGAGCTCAGAGATATCAAGAGGCAAAGCGGGGAAAGGTGGGTGACTAAATCACCAGGAATTCCCTGAGGTATCTGTTCCGTGTTGTTCCCTTGTGACGATGATGGGTGGCCTTCATGTGTCTGATGTTGTCCTATAGTCAGAACCAGGGTTTTCCTCAATTCTCAGGACTAACTGTAACTCTAATCCCTTCTCGTGCTACTGAGAAAGCATAACAGAGTACAAGGGAGTGAAAATGATATTATTTTAAGAAAAAATTAAATTACTTTAGCTCAATTAAAAATGTAGAAACTTTGGAGCTTTATATGTTATGAATGAATTAATTGTGACACCCCTAATTCCTGAACAAGATCCAGGGGTGGACCCAACAAGGATTGGAGCACTGCTGCCCTTCCCATGCCCCCTTGTTAGAATTCCAAGGGTGAAATAGCTCTCCTCTATCAGCTAATTGAGCCAGAAGGGAATATTTAGGAAAAGGAAGGCGAGGTGTGTTCTACTCCCAAAGATGTATGTTACTAGTTTCCTTCCTATAGTGAAGATGACTGGATATTTTTATTTTATAAGGGTTAAAGACTTCAAACATATTCAACGTTTTCTGTCTTTTTCTTTTGAGCTTATTCTCTCAGTAATCTTCAGTCATCTATTAAAAAACAATAGTAAAGGGAGAGTAAGATTACTGAGAATGACTTTCCTTTATACATGATATCTGGCTGTGGTTTTTCAATTGGGAAACAGATTTTCAGCCCTACTGGCAAGGTTTACTAAGTATGCCTTTGACTATTTTCTCCCTGAATTTTATTATGTAAAAAGTTTCTTCATAGGAGAAAGCTTTACCATGAAGCTGTATTGCAGGTTTTTGTAAACTTGCATGATTAGGGTCAACCAATAAATGTTTGATGAATGAATGAGCCAGTATCTTATGCAATTAATAGTGTTGTTGGCCATCTCATTTTTTACGGAGTGTACTGTTTGTTCAGTCTAACATTGCCAATAATTACTCTTACCCTAGCCCTCCAAGTGAGGGAAAATATGCTCCATGTTCTCCAGATTGAATTCTTATAGCTTAACATGGACACCCTTTTTGACTTTATTATTATTACAAAATAACGTAATTTTCTACTTGTAAGGAAAAATGTACAGTGCAATGTAGGAATAAGTGCCCTAAATTATAGAAATTAGGTTACTTACCCCTGATTATATAGCCAATTAGAACAAAGCTTAACTTCTGTAAGATTAGAGTTGATGACCTTAGGAATTAGAAACAAAAACCAAAAACAGCTTTGCTAAGATGTATGGTAAGCCTTGTTCTTTTGTGGTGATTTAGAATAAGAAGAATTGGCCAAATGCAATGTACCTTGAAGAAGTTTAAGAATATTAATTCACATCAGGTCAAAATCATCACTATTATGAAAGTAATTACAACAACCACTGCTTTTGCTTATTTTCCATTTATGTGATTCAGCAGTACAAGCAAAATGAGGTAAAGTTATAGGTCAAGAACAGTCGTCCTTCTTCAGTTATTTCTGAAGCCTTTTATGATTGTATTATAGCCCAATGTTCACCTTAGACTTGTCTCCTTTCTCAGTTTCATGCATTTCTTGTTGCTTAATTAGTTTTAGAAATCAAGGTCACTCTGGAAAGCTTTCAAATCACAGATTCCTGCTCATAAGTGGATAAATGCGAGTATACTGGGAAAAAATACATAGTTTCTACTATTTTTTGTCTCCCTGTGATTCTGGTGCTCTAGGGCTCCTTTGGAAAGGGTTATAGCTTATTCCATTAGCAGTGAAGAGTCCTAAAACTATTATACAATGGGTCCCTCTGCCTCAGCTTTATTGAGTTCTAAGCCATTAAGGTGAATCTCTACCACGAGTGACTCATGTAATATATTAATATCTATACTTGCCATTTCCATCCACAGAAGCTCCATAGATAAGTTGTATTCTTCTCAGCTTGTATTGGATCTTTTCTCTTTTTCTCAGACTCTTTTCTCTAAATGTTGATAATCCCTAGTGAATGCCATTACCATACTCATTTAGAATGGGGTAACAACATCAGTGTGTGCTGGGAGAGAGGAGAGCAGTCTTTCATAATCTTCTTCCAATGGGGGAACTACATGGGAGTTAAAGCAGCTTAGAGTCATTAAAGTTCCATTGTAAATAAGATTTGTGCTCTTTGACAGAGATTTTTTTTTTTTTCCTGCCCACTGCCCAATGGGGTATATTTTCCTCTTGCCTCAATTTTTTCCTTGGAGCAGTGATTCTAAAACAATGCATCACATCAATCAAAATATTCAGTTAAGATACATTCCTTATGATTTTGAGTGAAGATTTTCATTTACTCTCTGTTACTTTTCTTCCTCTCTCATTCTCCCTCTTATTTTATCTAGCTCTTTCTCTCTCTGCCTTCTATTTTATAGGTTGAACTATGGGAAATATTGAAAGTAGTGCATTGAAGTAGGCATTATTCCTGCCATTCGTTCATCTATCCAACAAAAAAAAGTTAAGCATCTAACATATACATATTTTAGATTAACTGATATCTCTTTACAGGTCTGTTGCTGGAATAGCATTTAGGAACTTTATATTTGTTTTTGTTTATTTTATTTTTATTGTTTTGCTATATACCAGATGAGTCATTGTCTCCTTATTGTGGCTGGGGCTGCAATACAGCTTGTCAAGAACAAACTCTGTAGAAAATAGCTTCATTTCATGGCAGCTTTTCCCCAATTTTATTTGTCTCAGGATGCAGTAAAATTGAACAAACACAGCTTATCCTACATTCTGAAGATGGGGCACATTTATCAGGTAAGTCTGTCAGACATTATTACCACACTTTGATAGAGGAATTACCCCTGGTGCAATGCAAAACCAAGGAAGTAAATTAGCAATAAAAAGCTAATATCTTCTTCACTGCTTTGTTTTATTGCTAAATTCCCTGACAGCAATCTCCTTCCAAAATCCTCATTCATCACGTGAAACACAATTTTATTGGCAATATACATAAAGCAAATTACAAAATAACAATTTTAATATTGTGGAAGGTGTTTGACAATTCAATTGTTTTGTGAATTCTACTTTCACTTTTTCTTTACTTTTTAATTAAGTGTATATAATTGCATATCAAAACAGAGTAGAAGACTGTATTTCCTTTTTAAAGCACCTTCGTTATATGTTATTTATATACTCTAAATTAAGCTGGTTGTTATGATGTTATTTTGATACCATGATTGATGAATAAAGGTTGTAGGGACATTTTCAAGCAGTGAATAGCCTAGATATTATAATCTAGCTGTAATAGCACACAAACAATTTTACTTTAGATAAAGCTTCATGCTCAAACTTAAAAATAGCAAAATAGAACCACATAGCCTACATGATTTCTAAGCTTCTTTCTTTCTTTCTTTCTTTCTTTCTTTCTTTCTTTCTTTCTTTCTTTCTTTTCTTTCTTTTTCTTCCCTTCCTTCCTTCCTTCCCTTCCTCTCCTCCCTCCCTCGCTCCTCGCCTCCCTCCTCCTCCGTTTCTTCTTCTTTCTTTCTTTCTTTCTTTCTTTCTTCCGACAGAATTTCACTCTTGTTGCCCAGACTGCAGTGTAATGGTGTGATCTCAACTCACTGCAGCCTCTGCCTCCAGGGTTCAAGTGATTCTCCTGCCTTAGCCTCCCAGGCAGCTGGGATTACAGGTGCCTGCCACCATGCCTGGCTAATTTTTGTATTTTTAGTAGAGACGGAATTTCACCATGTTGGCCAGGCTGGTCTCGAACAACTGACCTCAGGTGATCTGCCTGCCTCGGCCTCCCAAAGTACTGGGATTACAGGCGTGAGCCACCATGCCTGGCCTAGGACTTTTCAATAAGTAACCCAAGTACTCAAACCCAAACCTACTTTGTGAGCCCCTACATGTTGACTCTGGATCCTACATGTTGACTCTGGATGAATATTTCATATTGTCCATGAGTATTTTGTTCAATGTCTTTAAGAAGAAAATCAGTCCTGATTTTCATCTGCGTTTCCTCTATGATTACAAATAACACCTCATTTCACCCTAAAAAATTATCTGGTTTGCACAATAGATTATATGGGTACCCTACCTAAGAAGCACTTTGCTAGACTATACGCTGCTGGAGGACAGGATTTCATTAAATACCAAACTCTTTCATTTACATTTTGCTTTGCAAGTTATGAAGCAATTTCATGTTTATTATCATATTTCACACAATTATAAGAAGGCCTAGAGGGACTGAATATTTGTCCAATTTCAAATGGGAAAGAAAGACTGTGGCAGTCGTTTTTTGATGACTAACCAGTCTTTTTTCCCTAGTTGCATATACTTTTTAGTCTAATGTAAAAACTCACTCTTGTTGGTACTCAACAAACATTTATTGAAATAAATCTAGAGAGAATGTTGCGCCCTCAGAGCAAAAGACCAAGCTCCTGACGTTGTCGGAAACAGTTTATCCTAGTTTGGGAGAAGAGACACACGAAGTATGATATGAGGGAAGATTGGGGATTTTGCTGTTCTAACATTTTTCTTTACTCCAACAAGAAAGATCCTTTGATTTTCTTACCAAAGGAATTTCACTCATCTGGTGTTTTAGCTTACTTGGAGGAAGTTTACTCGGGGTTGATGGAAATAGAAAAGAATTTTTTAAAACAGAGAGAATAATTCCTCAAAGAGCTTAGCATCTTGGCCAGTGGCTTAGCTCTGGTAGCAGATAGTGTAATGTGTACTGCTTTGCTCTATAGCGGAAATATTCACCAACATTTTTAGAAACTGCCACTGAAGCTGCAGCTCATTTTCTCTGTAGACTTTCTCCCTGGCCATTTTAAACTGTCACTGCCTCAACCCCATAGGCGATTTTCTGGCAGACGACTGATGTCTGAGGAATGTAGAAACAAGGTCATTAGCTTTCCTCCAGTTAAGTCCTTCCTGTCGTTCACAATAAAAGAACCTCAACTCCAGGCCCTTTTTCAAGCAGAGGCATTTATTATCCAGATGAATTGCCCCAAAGATTGTTTTATTTTAAACATTTCAATGACTGACTCTGCATAGTTGTTTAATACTTGTTTGAGCTCCTTTGTTTTTTTTGTTTTGTTTTGTTTTTGTTTTTTTTTGTTTGTTTGTTTTTGATAAATCCTTGTCTTCTGACTGAAGGCAGTTTGGAGAATGTACGTGTTTCTGACCCCAACCATTTGCTAGTGGGTAGACATTAATGAGAAGTGGTTCCTTGCTTCAAATGCAGTATTTCTTTTGTGAGATTATTTCTTTGACATCTCAGTCACTCTGACACTTCCCTGCTGCTTCCTCTAGGACATTAAAAAAATTGTCTTAAGCAATAAAGCATGACTGTTTCTTTCTCTCTTCCAACCCCACCTGTACACACTTTCCCACCTCCTTTCATCCATTCTTTACTAGAATAGGGAGTGTTAGACAGGCCCTCAATACCCCCTTTATCTTTAACAAAAATTGAAAGTCCTGATCATTTAATTTTATCCTTTTGATTTGAGATGCACTGTCTAGGTTTTGACCCTAGTAGAATATTTTGCGTCTACTGCATTTTTTTTCACCATAAAATCTGAACACATGGCTTGGTTTATCAGTGCAAAACCACACTATAAATTCCATAACAATTTTTTGGGTGGTAGAGATTTGAATAGCAAACATTGGTAAAGTGAAACACCCTTTCCCATACATTCTCTTTCATGCGTCCTTAGTATACACAAAAATAACAGAAAAATATTTGAAAAAAATAGTGTGGAGGATTTACTCTGTGTGCCATTAGAGGCTGAAATTTAAATAAACTTAAAAGAAAAAAATTAAATTAACTTTTATTTCAGAAGACAGAGGATGAGGTAGAAATGACCTTTAAAGAAGGTCTTAGTGTTTATTTTCAATGAAAAGAAAGTTACAAATCTGAGAGAACCACAGTTAAAACACAGCAGAAATTCTAAGCTTTTCTTTACCTTCTGTAACTTTTTTCTAACAAAGTTAGTGAACTGAGTTGAGCATAGTGAGATATTGTTACGCTTAAAAGACTTTTAATTAAACTTGTAGTATTTTTTCAAAGATGGGGGGAACCATAGCTCAACTGTATTTACACAATGTATTTGAAATGATGTTGGCTGGTTATTTGCCATCAGAAATTAATGTTTCCTTTTCCAAGACAAAACTTGAGAAAAAGCATGGTTTAGGGGCAGAAGGACTAATACACTGAAAAACAATGTTGAGTAAATCAGTTCACCATGCTGTGCCTTCTTTTGATTTTCACTTCTATTCTACAGTAGAATGAAGTTCACTAAGAACGTAGAGAAAGGGACAATAATATCAAATTATTAATGTGAGACTCAATACCAGGCACTTAAAGTAAGGGTCTTGATGTATTTGTTATACTTTCATTGAGAAATTTAAGTGATTGAAAAGATATTTACTATGATACCATAATACTGCCTATTTTTGGTCTTCAAATTCTGTGATCCTGCTTTAAATAATTTATGGGAGAAACTTTCTTCCAGTTATAAATATTTATTGGATTAAATTAACACTTGTTTGAATTTCGAGTGTGTTGGGGCTTTATTATCATTTCCAATACATGCCTCTTAAACATAACTAATGCTTTCTAAACAGATGCAACATTAACAAAATTATCTTTAAGAAGATATTTTCAAAGTGGTGAGACCACTGGTCTGGACCAATAGCTTTCAAAACGTGGACTCCAGACCATCAGCATCATCTAGCAACATGTTGGAAATGTAAATTCTTGAGCCTCATTTCAATCACTAAGGGGTGGCCCAGTATTCTGTGTTTTAACATTACCTCCAGGTGTTTAAACATTAAGGTTTAATAATCATTGACCTAATAAAAGCCAGAGAATTCTTGAAATAAAATGTTCTTAGGCATGTTTCTCTCAATGCAAATTTATAATAGCTTTGGATTACAACTGATCATTCCTCCAGACATCTGCAGTGTTTACTTGTGAGCAACCATGTCAGATAATTAACTTGGATTTGCTAGTGGTAGGATATTAGGAACTGGGGCACAAAGCAATTATTTATCTCTTTGATAATAGAATTTTCTGTATCTAGTGGCCTAACCCAGAAATTCTGATACAATAGATTTGAGGTAAGACCTGCTGCTATATTCTAAATGTTTGTGTCACTACCCCCCAAATTTATATATTGAAATCCTGACCTCCACGGTGATGGTATTAGGAGAGAGACCTTTTAGGAAGTGATGAGGTCATGAAGGCAGAGATTTCATAATTGGGATTAGTTCTCTTATGAAAGAGGCCCCTGAGAGCTCCCTTGCCCCCTCACTATGTGAGGCCGCGGTGAGAAGACGTGATCTTTAAATCAGAAACTGGGGCCTCAGCAGGCACCGAACCTGCCTGCTCCTCCATCTCGGACTTCTCAGCCTCCAGAACTGGAAGAAATACATTCCTATTATCTCTAAGTTACCCAGTGTATGACATTTTGTTATAGCAGCCCAAACAGACCAAAAGGCCTACATGTTTAACTTGTACCCTCAAAAGAGAAAAACTGCCGGAGAGAATTCACGTCAGTGCAGACAGAGAGTCTCACATGGCTAAGAAATGTGCCTGACAACTTTTCAGAAATAAGACTATTAAAAGAAGGTCAGCTTGGAGTCTTACTGCGAAGTGAGCACAAATTCTTTGCTTAATGACTGTTTTCCTCTCCCTGAGGACTGAACTCATTGATAATTACCAAGAACACAGTATTTGCTTTTAGATTTGTCATCTAGAGCTATGCAAATAGCTTTAATTGATCACTTCTTTTCTTAAAAGTACCTTGGAAATCTCATTAAGAAGGACTAATCCTGGATTCACTTCTTACTTTAATAAGCTTGTGGGAAAATCAACAAAAACACACAGGTACAGAGAAGAACAAACATAATTAAGCGGTTAAAAACAGAAGTCTCCAAGGAATGAGTGATTTTACTATTTTGAGGCACCTCCATACAACTCATATTGGCTTTGCTCTGGGTGAATGACCCTGTAGTGAGGTATAAAGTACCATTGAGAATGGAAGGAGCAGAGGCCTACATATTAGAAGGCCTGAATCTAGCTAGTCCTGATTCTGCTGTTAACTTGCTAGCCCCTTGCAAGCCCCTTCACTCTGAGTCCTTCAGTTTTTTCATAAGGATTATAATATTATCGACAGCAGAGGTTTTTATAAGTGTGGAGTGAGACAATACACATAAAATTGCTTTGAAAAACAAAAGTAGTAATTCAAATAGAATGTCCATCCATCATCCATCTATGTATCTATCTATCTATGTATCTATCTAGGTATCTATGTATCTATCTGTCTATCTATCTATCTATCTATCTATCTATCTATCTATCTATCTATCTATCATCTATCTATCTATACCTTACCATAATATTGAGAATTAATAATGTGGTTAATAGGCCATGTTGGAGATCCACTGTTCTGAGCTTGGAAAAATATAAAATGACTGCATTGATTTCAAATAAATTTTTTAAATTATGAAAAAATCATTTAAATTAGACTTCATTCAGCAAAGGGATTTAGGTGGATATATAACTCTTGATTACAAAGCTTTCATTAAGTAACTTGTAAAGACCCATGTGAATGCAATACACAGTCATCAAGAAGCTGATTTTGGTCTGGTCCTGTTTGAAGGGAAGGAATAAGTCGAGTTGATTTCTTGTAGACTGTAAGCCTTAATAAGCAAAATACGTTTTCTTTTCCTACAGGAATAAGAAACAGACACGTGGACTAAAAATAGGGTGAGTATTTAATTTGTTATTAAAATTAGGACACTTTCAAGAGTAAAAGGGGGCCAGGCGTGGTGGTGCGCACCTGTAATCCCAGCACGTTGGGAAGCCAAGGCGAGAAGATCACTTGAGCCCTGGAGTTTGAGGTTACAGTGAACTAACATTGCACCACTACACTCCAGCCTGGAAGACAGAGCAAGACCGTGTTTCTAAAAAATAAAAACAGGCTGGTATGCAGTGACTCAGGTCTGTAATCCCAGCACTTTAGGAAGCCGAGGTAGGTGGATCACTTGGGGTCAGGAGTTTGAGACCAGCCTAGCCAACATGGTGAGACCCCCCCTCCCCCGCCGTCTCTACTAAAAATGCAAAAATTAGTGAAGCGTGGTGGCACATGCCTGTAATTCCAGCTACTCAGGAGGCTGAGGCACAAGAATTGCTTGAACCTGGGAGGCAGAGGCTATAGTCAGCCAAGATCGCACCACTGTGCTCCAGCCTGCTTGATAGAGCCAGACTCCCTCTCAAAAATTATAAAAATAAAAATTAAAAGAAAAACAGTAAAAGGGACATTATTAATAATCACACAGGACAACAAGCATAGGCATAAAGTAATATAGGTAAACCAGCATCTAAGCTGTTTAGTTATGAATAGCCCTCTCAAGGTGAGTAAAGTCAGAATAAACTCATCGGCAAAAAGATTCTGAAATATAACCAGCCTTTCTGTACTGAGGTCAGTTGGATCACCACGTTGGAACGAGCAAAGAAGGACAGCAGAGGCCCGCGGAAAGCCTAGGAAGCTATTGTGCCTCAGGCGGAAGCAGGCAACTTCAGGCAACAGGGATGGAAGAAATGTTTCTAGGTTTCTCTGAAGTGAAGCATCAAACGTGTGCCTGAGCTGTTGTCTGCCGAGAGGCTGCAGTACCAGACACACCAGTCTGGTATGTCAAGCTCAGAGATGAGTGACTATGAATAAAAGCTTCAGGTCAATGTCAAGTCTACCAAATAGAGTTGCAAACAGCTCCCAGTTCTGCAAGCAAAGGCTATAGACATAAATCAAAGAGCAATCTTCCAATGTTGGCAGTGCGGGAAAGACTGGCCACTCGTCACGCTTCAGTGTCCTCAGCCACCGTTTCACACATGGAGAGTAATTACAGTTGGTGGTGTCATCTGAGAGGAATGATGGCAGGAGCAGGACTGGTCGATGAGGTGAAGGGAGAGAATGAAGTGTGCCCCATATTGAGAGATATAATTTACTTATCTCCATTTATGTGTACTCCCAGAATCATAGGGAATCACTTAAAAATATTTTCCCTTTGAGGCATTCTTTCTCATGATTTATAAGAAATGCCTTATTTCCAGCATATCTCCAGCATATGTTTATGGAATCGCATTGCAGCCTCATAATCCTGCCAGGGTAACAAGCCTAAAGACATTTTACTAAATGAGTTTTTAGGGATAAATCAATGTTCACAATGTCATATTGTTAGGATGATTCTAAATTCTGAAAAAATATAACCTAGCACTCTTCCTCAGGGGAAGGTCAGGAGAACTGCCTAGTTCTGGGGCAGATTCTGCAGTAAGACAAGAAGTCAAAGGCACAGCTGGCATAGCCTTATCATCAACTTTCTTCTAAGTCCTTAGATGTGTGATATCCTGGGCCAGGAATGTCCCACAGTGGCAGGTGGGGCCCTTTATGACTGCGGGATAGCCAGCTTTGTAATCAAAGTATATTGAATTTCTTTTTTTTTTTTTAAGACGGGATCTCACTTTGTTGCCTAGGCTGGAGTGCAGTAGTGTGATCATGGCTCACTGCAGCCTCGACCCCTTGGGCTCAAGTGATCCTCCCGCCTCAGCCTCCCCAGTAGCTGTGATTACAGGCATGTGCTATGACACCCAGCTAATTTTTTTAAATGTTTTATAGAGACGAGGTCTCATTATGTTGTCCAGGCTGGTCTTGAACTCCTGGGCTCAAATGATCCTCCCGCCTTGGCTTCTCACAGTGCTGGGATTATAGGTGTGAGCCACTGTGCCTGGGGCACTAACTTTTTTGATGGGTCAGCCATAAACTCCATAGAGCTTATTTTTCCAAGGAAGCATTCTTTTCTCACTATTTCCTTATGGAGATAGTTATGAAAAGATTGAAATAAAAGTTTTTCATCTGAGAGGAAGAAGCACAAAATATTAGTAGGTATTTACTTCTTTATATTTGTCTATCTTCTTTTAAAACATTGCTTCTAAAGGAAATGATGTCAAGTATTGGCATGGGTTTCATATTTTCCAAGAAACATGAGAAGAACGGGCCTACCACACTCTTTCATTGCTTGTAAGTCCATTTTCATTTTCTGTTATTCATTTATTGTATAAAGTTTTAGGATATCAATTCATAAAGCAATTCTGGAACTTGCATTACTCCCTGAGGCTTCTGATGTAGTGAATACTTTTAAAAACAGTTATCTGATCATATTAATGTTTTTAAGTAAATACCAGTAGACACAGAAGCCAGTACATTGCTATTGGCAGGGTATTAATCCAGCCTTGAGAAAAGTGTGTGTAAGTCCTACATTTAGTTCATGATTGCTTTAAAGCAGAGCTTTTTCTTTGTAAGTACATAAAAAATATTTTAAAAATTAATTATTCTGGCAAAACCACGTCTTATGATGGAGAAGTAGCAATTTCCAAGGTCAGATTATGATTTTTCCTCCCATTCTGATAAAAGGGTAGGTCAGTACTCTACTGTCCAATTTATTTTTATTTATTATTATTATTATTTTGAGACAGAGTCTTGCTCTGTCACCAGGCTGGAGTGCAGTGGCACGATCTCGGCTCACTGTAACCTCTGCCTCCTGGGCTCAAATGATTCTCCTGCCTCAGCCTCCCTAGTAGCTGGGACTACAGGTATGCACCACCATGTCGAGCTAATTTTCGTATTTTTAGTAGAGACGGGTTTCACCATGTTGGCCAGGATGACCTCAATCTCTTGACCTCGTGATCCGCCTGCCTCGGCCTCCCAAAGTGCTGAGATTACAGGTGTGACCCACGTGCCCAGCCTACTGTCCAATTGTCAAATCATGTTATTTCCAGGAAAGAGAGTCTTTCTGAGGATTGTTCAGTCCCCTTTGTTTTTTTTTTTTTTTTTTTGAGACGGAGTCTCACTCTGTCGCCCAGGCTGGAGTGCAGTGGCGCAATCTCGGCTCACTGCAAGCTCCACCTCCCGGGTTCACGCCATTCTCCGGCCTCAGCCTCCGAGTAGCTGGGACTACAGGCGCCCGCCACCACGCCCGGCTAATTTTTTGTATTTTTAGTAGAGACGGGGTTTCACCATGGTCTCGATCTCCTGACCTTGTGATCCACCCGCCTCGGCCTTCCAAAGTGCTGGGATTACAGGCGTGAGCCACCGCGCCCGGCCCAGTCCCCTTTGTTAAATAAACATACCAACAAACGTAGTTTCTTGCTTTTCAGAATGGTAGTAGTGGTGCTTCAGGTAAACAGAGTCTTAACCTTCAGTGGAGTGGAAATGCCTCCTCAGATGTGCTTATTGGCAATGTTGTGTCCTTTGGCTTAGGGGTAGATTCTTGAGGCTTCACTTCATTCTATTTGTTTCCTATTTGCACACATTTAACAGTTGCTTGACAGTTTGGAGTTTTAATTTTGGTCTTAATGTCTCAAGTGTTCCTTAATTTAAAAAATTAAGTTTTTATATTACATTTAAACAATTTAATTTAATTTTTTAAAACTTTTATTTTAAGTTCAGGAGTGAATGTGCAGGTTTGTTGTATCAGTAAACTTGTGTCATGGCGATTGCTTGTACAGATTATTTCATCACCCAGGTATTAAGCCCAGTACCTGTAAGTTATTTTTCTTGATCCTCTCCCTCTTCTCACCCTCCACCCTTGAATATGACCCAAAATATTACATTATTTTATTCAGAGATCAAGAGACCAATCTTGGTTGACCTCTGTGTGTCACACCAAAACAATGCAATATATTCAGGCTTTCTCAAAAAACAGAGCCAAACATGTTATGGCTAGCTTTCCATGATTATAGCATCCTACAAGATCATCGCAAATCTGAGCTTTGCAGGGTGCAGAACCCAGGGTTGTCTCTTTCATAGAATTGTAAATAGCAGTCAGCTGTTTAATGACATAATGTGAATTTTTATTGGCTCATCTAATTCTACAACAAGATTGCTCTGTGAACACTTGAGATAAATCTTCATTCATTCTCTGGAATTGTTCAACACACAGGTTAATTTCTCACTATTGATTTTCTCCAGTATGCATCTTGAATGCTTCAAGATCTCTTGATCTATACAAAATATCTCTGTGACAGAAGGTTAAAAAAATAGCTCTTCAAATTTATGACGAACCCACAGCCAATATCATACTCAATGGGCAAAAGTTGGAAGCATTCCCTTTGAAAGCTGGCACAAGACAAGGATGCTCTCTCACCACTCCTATTCAACAAATTATTGGAAGTCCTGGCCAGGGCAATCAGGCAAGAGAAATAAATAAAGGGTATTCAAATAGGAAGACAGGGAGCCAAATTATCTCTGTTTGCAGATGAAATGATTGTATGTTTAGAAAACTCCATTGTCTCAGCCCAAAAACTCCTTAAACTGATAAGCAACTTCAGCAAAGCCTCAGGACACAAAATCAGTGTGCAAAAATCACAAACATTCCTATACACCAATAATAGACAGAGAACCAAACCGTGAGTGAACTCCCATTCACAATTACTACAAAGAGAATAAAATATCTAGGACTACAACTTACAAAGGGACATGAAGGACCTCTTCAAGGAGAAGTATAAACCACTGCTCAAGGAAATAAGAGAGGATGCAAACAAATAGAAAAACATTCCATGCTCATGGATAGGAAGAATCAATATCATGAAAATGGCCATACTGCCCAAAGTAATTTATAGATTCAATGCTATGCCCATCAAGCTACCATTGACTTTCTTCACAGAATTAGAAAAAAACACTTTGAATTTCACATGGAACCAAAAAAGAGCCCATAGAGCCAAGGCAATCCTAAGCAAAAAGAACAAAGCTGGAGGCATCATGCTACCTGACTTCAAACTATACTACAAGGCTACAATAACCAAAACAGCATGGTACTGGTACCAAAACAGATATAGAGACCAATGGAAGGGAACAGAGACCTCAGAAATAACACCACACATCTACAACCATCTGATCTTTGACAAACCTGACAAAAACAAGCAATGGAGAAAGGATTCCCTATTTAATAAATGGTGTTGGGAAAACTGGGTAGCCATATGCAGAAAACTGAAACTGGACTCCTTCATTACACCTTGTACAAAAATTAACTCAAGATGTATTAAAAACTTAAGCATAAGACATAAAACCATAAAAACCCTAGAAGAAAACCTAGGCAATACCATTCAGGACATAGGCATCCGCAAAGACTTCATGACTAAAACACCAAAAGCAATGGCAACAAAAGCCAAAATTGACAAATGGGATCTAATTAAACTAAAGAGCTTCTCCACAGCAAAAGGAACTATCATCAGAGTGAACAGGCAGCCTACAGAATGGGAGAACGTTTTTGCAATTTATCCATCTAACAAAGGGCTAATATCCAGAATCTACAAAGAACTTAAACAAATTTACAATAAAAAAAGACCCGCTCAAAGACTGGGCAAAGGATATGAACAGACACTTCTCAAAAGAAGACATTTATGGGGCCAAAAAACATATGAAAAAAACTCATCATCACTGGTCATTAGAGAAATGCAAATCAAAACCACAATGCTATACCATCTCACGTCAGTTAGAATGGCGATCATTAAAAAGTCAGGAAACAACAGATGCTGGAGAGGATGCGGAGAAACAGAAACACTTTTACACTGTTGGTCGGAGTGTAAATTAGTTCAACCATTGTAGAAGACAGTCTGGCGATTCCTCAAGGATCTAGAATCAGAAATACCATTTGACCCAGCAATCCCATTACTGGGTCTATACCCAAAGGATTAGAAATCATTCTACTATAAAGACACATGCACACATATGTTTATTGCAGCACTGTTCACAATAGCAAAGACTTGGAACCAATCCAAATGCCCATCAATGATAGACTGGTGTGGTACATATATACCATGGAATACTATGCAGCCATAAAAAAGGATGAGTTCATGTCTTTTGCAGGGACATGGATGAAGCTGGAAACCACCATTCTCAGCAAACTAACACAGGAACAGAAAACCAAACACCACATATTCACACTCATAAGTGGGAACTGAACAACGAGAACACATGGACACAGGGAGGGGAATATCAAACACTGGGGGAACATCACACACTGGGGCCTGTCAGGGGGTAGGGGACCAGGGGAAGGATAGCATTAGGAGAAATACCTAATGTAGATGAGGGTTTGATGGGTGCAGCAAACCACCATGGCATGTGTATACTTATGTAACAAACCTGCACATTCTCCACATGTATCCCAGAACTTAAAGTATAATTAAAAAAAAAAAAAAAAAAGAAAAAGAAAAAAGTAGCTCTTCAAAAGAATGCTTGAAAAATCAGTAAAGATAATGAAATAACTCTTCCCCAACTATTGGCCTGGTAGTTTAACTAGACATTTTCATTAGGTTTCAGGGAGATAACAAAATCATGAACATGTACAAGAAGAGGCTTCATGTACTGTATTACAGTTTCTGAATGTGGATATTACTTTAGTGGGCATCCCCAGGGAGGCATAGTTTTCTCATCTAGTGATTGAAAATCTCAAGTTAAATCACAGTAAAATCCAGAACCAGCTTTGGTAACAGAGTGAGGCAACACAGCACAAGATAAAAAACACAGGAATACGGCCCAGCAGACATCAGCCTGGCCAGGAGTTGGGCCTTTCTGAGCTTTTATTATTCATCTGAAGAAGCAAAGGGATTGGATCCTAGGAGTCTACCCAGTTCTAAAATTTAATGCTCTAGATCCAAGATGTTATATAAATTTTTATTAACAGGAAAACCAACTTCAAACAAAAAACAAAAAGAAAGCAAAGTTAAAACACTTTTATACTGAAAAAACTTAAGAGATGTGTCATAACCATGATTCTTTTTTCTCGAGAACCACCTTGATACCTGTATATTCTTCCCCTATCTTGATATTATTGAACAGTAAAAAATTGTTTTAAGGATTAATTGTTCCATTTAGTTTTCAGAGCATTCCTTTCTTCATCCCTGAAATATTGTCTGATTAACAGAAAATGGTGTCAGAAACACTTTATTAACGGTAACTCCTTTTATGAGCTTCCAAATAAAAGAACGTCATTAATATCAACACTACAAAAGAACAACAACGAGAAAAAAATAAAAAATAAAGCAAAACCCAAATAAACAAACGAACAAATGAAACCACTCGTATGCTCCCACCACTGATTAAACAGAATTGAAGTGAACCAAGCCATTTTCACATATCACTTGGAGTGTAGATTTATTTGGGTTTAAGAATCTCCTAAACTAATTACATCAACCTCACTCCATTTCCTTGCTTAATAAAAATTATGACTGGACAAATATCAGACTTTTAAGGTTTTAAAAATAATAGAAAAGTAAAAATAGATTTCCCAGGGAAGACCCTCTCTTAAATCTTATATGGTTTTGCTGCTTCTATGAGATTTTTCTTTGGAGTAACTTGAGAGCACAGATTTTTGTTTTTGTTTTTGTTTTTAACTGGATTCATAGAAGGGCACTGAATTAGAAATCCAGTGGATTCAAGGAGGTGAACTTCCACAAACAATAAAAAACCTTTGCTCTGAAAAAACAAAAAGGCAAATGTAAACGAAAGAATGGGAACACTGGATGTCCATTTCATTATGTAATTGAAGTCTTACATTAGATATTGCACCCTCACTTAAAAAAAAAAAAAAAAAACAGAATAGTATGAGCACTCTGAAATCATCTGCAGCACTTTTAAGGGTTAAACCTGCTTAACCCATTCTTAGTCAGAGAATGGCACCAAAGAGTACAGCTCACCCTTTAAGCGTGGCTAGTTCTAAACCTGTGATATCCTCAGGTTGTCAGAGCAGTCATGCACTCCGTTTTCACCCCCCTCCCACCCAGTTAATAGGATCCATTCATAGCTACTCACTACTGCAGGATTTGACCTGAGAAATGCTAGGATTTATTAGCTCAGCAGTTGTTTTGAAAAGTCCCTAAATTATCTTTGCCCTTGGCCAGCAAGGGAACTGCTAGTCTCAAGTTCTCAGAAGCAGCTGGTGAGATTCTCAGCCAAGTTCTTCAGATGCAGGAAGTTCTTCAAAACAACCTACTTTGACATGGCATTTACAAATCTTTAAACCAGCCTTCCTGGATCGAGGAAATGTTATTCCTGACTCCTTCGACCCAGATGCTGGCTAAAATTTCATTTATAATCTGTAGGTAATCACTCTTTCTTCCTTCCTTCTTTCTAGGAGCTGGCATGGTGGTTAAATTTTTCTAAAACAGTCATATTAATGTGTTCAAAAATCCACTGCTGAGTCTCAGAGAGAGGGTCACATCTGGCCATGAAAATCTTCTTCTCTGCGGGGTTGCAATCCATGCAGCTGTTGCTCACAGGATGGAATAATGTTCTGTCCTGGAGGAGTCAGGAAGAAAAGAAAAGACTGTTGTAATACGTGGTGAATGGTTACAACCCAAAATATACAGAAGTAAGATATTTCTGTTTATATTTCAGTATATATTCATTGTGTAAATAGAACAGCTCCCAAATCAAACAATAGCAGGTGGAGTTGCCAATATGGAATGCGAATTTGTAGGATCTATTGGCACTATGTAGAGCCTACAAGCAGGTTCAACTAGAGACAATAAATGTATTCATTCATTCATTCATTCAATTGGTCATTCACTTTTTTAAAAAAAGCAATCCATTCATTTTCTGCTCTGTGGTGAGCTTTTTGCTATCTGCTTGGATTTTGAAGATAATAAGTATACGGGGTTGCTTGTCAAGTAGCCAATAATGTAGCTATCTGGGGAGAAACACATACACAAAAAATTATATTTTAGTGCACAGTAAATAATACCCCCTGCTCACACGCACACACAGTGACTAGAAGAGTCATAATTCCCTCACATTGAACCTCTAATGGGAAAGAGAAATACAAAAGAAAACAAAAAGCAGTCAAAAGTGCTGGGTTCTCAGCTGTCTTTTTCAGAAGATGAATATGAGTTTGGGGACAGGGGGCACACAGGCAATAACTGGATGTACAAATTCAAATTTGCTAGCTCTTGAGCTTCAGTCTCCTCTCAATCCCTTTATTGATATAATGCAGGTGTTCCAGTGCTGCCATTCTCATTGCTTTCTGCAAAATGGAGGAGGCAACATTCATTTTAAAAAAGCCCCCAGGTACGTGATGCAGATAACAGCCCAGTGAATGAAGAGATACACGGGGACAGACAGTTTAAGTAGTGAGCAAGCTCATTATCTGAACAAGCTCTGTTAACACACACCCCCTTTTAATTGTGTAAGTGGGGATAAGGTAATGCTAAAAAAAAAAAAGATTTTTCCTTATTAGTAATGAATTTTATCTCTAATGTGGTCTATAATGCCAATAATACAAGAAAACATCCCCAAATCACTGCTCACATTTTAGGATCAAGTAATGTTTTACTTAGTTTAGGAAAGGTTTACAGGCTCTGGTTACCTTTATCTGAGGAATACTAAACTTGCAATGCTTTTAGAATTAGGAGTTTCTCAGGCACCCTTTGTAAACATTTCTGGGTTGCTCCTGGATTTTAAGACTCCATCAACCAATATTTAATGTCCTTTTAGGATCCGGATGTTTGCATAGTTAAGCACTGCATGAAGGAAGAAAGAATGAGGAAGGAGAAAGGCAACCTGCAGGCAATTTGGTTTGCCTGTTTCTATTTTCAGTGTAAACAAAGAGCTGTGCCTAATACAAAGGCTTGCTATTCTCTTCTGCTCTCTTTATGAGTTTCCTGAGTTTATTGTGGATTTTACTGTCCTTACACAAAGAGGGCTCCTGAGATCTCCTTGCCATTTTCTTTCCCTCCTGCTTCATTAATTCCACCGGTGTCTGACCCCAGGGAAAGACTGAGAAACTCTCTCCTCCGGGGTGGAGGAAGCAGCTTTCAGGAGGAAGGAGAATGCAAGCTGCAGCTCACTCCACCAGCCCTTCTTTTCTGGGGCTCCTAGATATTTGCTATCCCAGATGCCCTCTCCCAGCCGCCACTGTGGCTCCTCGGGCAGCAGTCTCCTTCATTATCTTCTCTCTACTTCTCCAGAATGTCTCATGCTCATTCTCCCAGCCCCAGCCACTAGTGAAGCTACATGGATATGTATTATAATATACAATTATAATATATCCATGTATTATATAATACGTATAATATATGTATTATAATATATATGGATATAATATATTTAAGTCAGTTTTTCAAAGAGCACTCTTAAGCTGTTATAGTCATGAAAATTCTAGGTGACCTGCTACATTCTAATTCACTTTGTTCTATACACATGCACTTCTTGCCCCTTCTTCACCGTCTGTATTTTTTTCTGTTGTTACCTTTATCAATAGCTCATGTGGGGCTGGGCACCGTGGCTAACACCTGTGGTCCCAGCACTTTGGGAGGCCATGGCGGGCAGATCACTGGAGGCCAGGAATTCGAGACCAGCCTGGCCAACATGGTGAAACCCCGTTTCTAATAAAAATATAAAAATTAGCCGGGCGTGGTGGTACACGTCTCTAAATCCAGCTACGTGGGAAGCAGAGGCAGGAGAATCGCTTGAACCTAGGGAGGCGGAGGTTGCAGGGAACTGAGATCAGGCCACTGCACTCCAGCTTGGGAAACAGACTCTGTCTCAAAACAAACAAATGAAACAAAAATAAAAACAAAAACAAAAGGAAAAGAAAAAAGAAAAGCTCTTGTGGGCTCTCCAGATGAGCACAATTTCCCCCTCAAAACACACGTCTCCGTGAACGTTAAGAAATGAGAAAAGGAGTAGGACATGTTTCTATTCTCTTTTCTTCCCTAGCTTGTGTACCTCAGCATGCATGCAAATGCCAAACTCGACTTTCTGAACATTTTATTTTTTCAAACATTATTTTCTGAGCCATCAACTGGTCATATTTTTCCAAATCCCATATTGGAACACATCCTCTGACAAATACAGGTGTACTCCTGGAGTGAACCCAGTCGAGTATGCAAATATACCGCTACCGCGAACCGTCCAGAATATGTTTTCTGTTATTGTACTTTATGTTCTCATAAAAGTTGAAAAATTGGATTCCCTTCATCTGTCTATGTCTGAGAAGCTTCATCAGTAAAATGCTTGGGCGGGGGGGATTAGATAAATCTCTGGAGTCTCTCCTAGTCATAAAATTGAATGAGCATTTTACTCCAAAGGTCACTAGTGACAGAGACAAATGACAGGGTGTCAAACTAGAGACCATCCACAGTGATCGGCAGATCCACAGACTGACTGTTCCCTGGTTGGAGACAGAGCTCTGCTCGCCCTTGTCTTGGGAGTGCCCAGCAAGTCCCGGAAGTGAAGCTTCTCGAAGCGCCCTTGCCTTGCCCATAGCTAGCATTTTCCACTTTTGACCTTGGGGGCTAGCTACATCATTGCCATCTTTAAGTTTCTACTCAACTGAGCTTGTGAATCACTAAATGTCTTTCCTGGTGCTTTTCCTGGTTGGAATTAAGTCAGTGGATCGAGTAATTATTTTTTGAATGTGGTCTTTGGTTCTATGACAGCCTTTCCCTCCTCTGCCCTTCACCTCAGTGGTCACAGCAGTGATGCTGGAACAGAATTGAACACAGTTTTTTCTGTGGAATAGACTTCTGAGTGTTTCGGTAAGTGTGCTGCTCTAAAACAACCCTCCCTAAAGGACGATAGATGTTCTTTCTGTGCTTTTAACTAGATTGTTCTCTGTCCAGTCCTGGGACATGGCACGGCCTGTGCTCTGGCTATTCACAGTGCAATCCAGCAGTGCATTTCCCTTTATTACTTCCACTTTTCCTGGATGCCTGCTCCATCTATTTTTGTGTTTTTCTGTTTGTTTGGGTTTTGTTTTGTTTTGTTTTGCCTGAGAAAATGAGAAATCCTTGAGAGGAAATGCGAAAGTTTGAATTCAGAACTACTTCCTAATCAGTGCTCAATGCCAGTCGATCAGTGCACCCTGGCAACTGTAGGTGTGCCTTTCCAGGTAGCTCATTGGAAGGGGCACTTCTTTATAGCAGGCCCGTGGACTTGATTGAGGTGTGTGTGACACTCTGTGGCACTCACGGGTTTGTGCTAGACTTTATTAGGTTCCATAGTCCTGTAGGCTCTGAACTCTAAAAGAATGTGTGAGTTACAGAAAATATTCCACGATGGTCATAAAAGAACCAAATGCTAAAGATGCAAAGATAGTAAAATAGGTATATGAATCCATTATGTATAGGAAGGTGATTCCAAGAACGAACTATCACACGGTGGGCAGAGACAACATGGTGCTGGGGAAACACGGACAACATGGTGCTGGGGAAACACAGACAACATGGTGCTGGGGAAACACGGGCAACATGGTGCTGGGGAAACGCGGGCAACATGGTGCTTGGATTTGTGGCATAGGGGATTTATCAGATTTTAGTCCTGCTGTGTAATCTTGGACAACTTGTTTAATTTTCTGAACCTCAGGTTACTTATCTGTAACATGTAAATGACAGTACGCCTCACATATTTATTTTGAGGATAAAAAGAGTTAATAGATACAAAATCACTGGCATAGTGGCCTGCCAATAGGTAAATAACTAAGTAATAGTGATTCCACCCTCCCTTTCCACTACTTTATTTTTAGTCAGGCAGCATCCCCAGTTCTAAAAATCAGAATGCACCAACCATCTGGTCTGAGACCAGCTATTCAACACTAAATTGTGTTTTCTGAAGTCTGGCAAAATAGAATTTTAAAAAATTAGCCTCTGCCTTAACTGTTATCCAAACTGATGCGATAGTACCTCCCATTTTAAGCAAAAGAATTTATGGAGTGAAGGTATCTATGGCTCTGAAATGAGCTCTTCTGTGCAATTACGATCAGAGCTTGTATCTGATCTGTGTGTTTAGGTCCTTTGCCTAGAAGGTAACATTAATCACGTCAGTTGAGTTTGACAAATATTTAAGTGACTTTTACTTTCTGGTATGTATGAGGAGAGAGCATAGAAAGATAACCTAAGACGCACCCTCTGACCCAAGACATAGGGGAGACCAATAGGTAAACAAGAAATGTGTGTAGTAGGCCAGGTGCGGTGGCTCACACCTGTAATCCCAGCACTTTGGGAGGCCAAGGTGGTTGGATCACCTAATGTCAGGAGTTCGAGACCAGCCTGACCAACATGCAGAAACCTCGTCTCTACTAAAAATACAAAATTAGCCAGGCTTGGTGGCACATGCCTATAATCCCAACTACTCAGGAGGCTGAAGCAGGACAATCGCTTGAACCTGGGAGGCGGAGGTTGCGGTGAGCCAAGATCATGCCATTGCACTCCAGCCTAGGCAACAAGA